AACAACAACAATAAAGACATATTATTTTCACAAATATAAAAATCAAGACTCATAATCTAATGATGACTACAAATGTTCAGAGAATTCTAGTTCAGAACCAAATGGGGCATTGGATATAATCTATATGCAAATATGTTTTAGACACTAAATAAAGCAGATCAGCACACATTATCAGAAACAAACATGTTTTTTCATTAAATTTTTTCTCATTGGCAAACTGTGTTCCTTTAAAATTCTTTTAATTCTTCTAAGAGTTATTTCCTTGATTTCCTATCAATTTTATAAAAAAGAAAGCATATTTAACTTTAGCTCAATTCCCATATGTTTTCATATTTGTATTTTGTGCGCTCAGATAACATATATAATCCCTTCATGCTAAGACTACAATATAAAATATCTCCGGGTCTCTAACAGCATAAAAAATGAGCTTTGTTGACAAAAGATTAATTTTGACATTTCTATTGTAATATGGTAATTATTATTTCCCTCATTAGTGAGAAAAAAAACAGTACCTAAAATAGAGTTTTCTAGAATACTTAATTTCTATAGTATTTAATGAATAATTAATTTCAGTTTAATTAATCAAGTCATAAAAATCTGTAATAGCAAAATATGCTCTACTACTAGTATACATGAAATAGAGAAAATTAGAAAGTTTAGGGAATTAAGAAGTCTTTTGTGGTGCTGTAGGATAAGCACTGCTCTGCTAAAAACAAGGTCAATGGTTCAAACCCATTAGCCTCTCCTTGGAAACCTTATAAAGTATTGCTGTAAGTTGGAACTGATTCATTTGTATTTAACAATAACACCATAGGAAAATAAAATGAATAACATGATTTTTCAAAGGATTAAATAAAGGCCTGAATTCAATTCAGATAAATGTATTTGTAGTGGTATATGTAGCACTGGCAACTATTTCCCAAGTTTTTCTTACTGTGTTATTTTAAAGCAATGTTTGATATGTTGTTGTTGCTAAGTGTCATTGCGTCAGTTTCGATGCATAGTGACCCTATATTTAAGGTTTCTGAGAAGCAGCTGGTGGGTTTGAATTGCTGACCTTGTGGTTTGCAGTCCAGGGCTGATCCTACAGTGTCACTATTGTTGTTGTTGTTAAGTGTTGTCGAGTCGGTTCCGACCCATAGCGACCCTGTACAGGGTTTCAAAGGAGTGACTGGTGAGCTTGAACAGCCGACCTTGTAATTCAAACCATCTTTGCAGTATAGCGCATTAACCCACAGCATCACACCAGAACTCCACAGTGCCACTTGTTGTTAAGTGCCGTTGAGTCAATTCTGACCCATAGCAACCCTGTATAGGGTTTCCGAGGAGCACTGGTGAGCTTGAACCACCGACCTTGCAGTTCAAACGGTTTGCAGTCTGGTGCATTAACACACAGCACCACACCAAGACTCTTACTATTATTTCATTTTAGTCAGTGGCAACGTTGCAAAATTAGCTTCAGGTTGTTTTAACATTTTATCGGATCCTAGGGAGTCCTGGTATGGCACTGCAGGATAAGCACTAGACTGCTAACCACAAGGTTGATGGTTCAAACCTGCCAGGTTGCTCCTTGAAAACTCTGCACAGGGTTTCTATGAGTCAGAACTCGATGGAACTTAACAACACAAACAGCATGGATGCTTTATCTTTGCAGGCTCCACTTTATATCACACCAAACTTGCTTAAAAACCTCACTCTCATTTTAAATACAACTCTTTGAAGTGAAGAATTTTACAATTTTTAAGCTATTTAACTATGATAATTCATTATTTAATAAAAATAAATCAACTGACTATTTGAAAATTAACTCTCAAAATCAGAACATACAATGTATTAATAAAGAACATAAAAGGGAAGTATAAATTCAGTTACTGCACCTGCCTGCCAGGGTAACCAGGTGAGCCAATATTACCAGCGAATCCAGGAATTCCCTGAAATGAAAAATAAAATAAGTAAAACAATACAGAAAAAAAAGAAAAAATCAAAAGAAGCACAAGGAAATCACATTTGGTATATTTATAATACTCAAATTTGTTTTGTTTGTTTTAACTTCAATGTTGTTGTTAAGTACTGTGGAGTCGATTCCGACTCATAGTGACCCGCACGGGGTTTCTGAGGCTGTACATCTTTACAAGAGCAGAAAGCCCCATCTTTTTCCTGTGGAACAGCTGGTAGTTTCAAACTGCTGACCTTGAGGTTAGCAGCCTGATTCATAACCACTCCTCATATAAATACTAAGAATCTTGCATATTGCTTATATGACTGAATCCTCGGTCAAAGTTACTCAAAAAACAAAACAAAACAAAAACTATTAGATTAAGGCAGTAAATGAGATATGAATCATAAATAATGAAAAACATAGGATGGAAAAGTCTGGTGCTACATAACTAGAGATATTTATAGAAGACTCAGTATATTTCTCAATGACGACTTACTATTACATTTAAAACTTATCATAATTACCCTGAAATACTCAACTACCTGAGCAAGTTGGTGTTGTTGCTAAATGCTGCTGAGTCAGTTCCGACCCATAGAGACACTATACCGAGTTTCCAAGGAACAGTTGGTGAGGACAAACCAACCTTGCAGTTCAACCCAACTTTGCAAAATTCAGCACATTAACTCACAGTGCCACACCAGCTCAGTAAACTTCAAAACCAACCTCTTGTTCCTGTCTAAAATAAACATATTCTTACAAACTGGCTGCTTAAATAAATAGATATTAGGTGATAAATACCTTTATCATAACATGGGTCTATCTGAAAATTTACTTAGTAACTTTGTTTGCTAAACTCATTTGGAATGACAATGTTGCATTCTTGTTTAAAACAAGGTCAGCTCAAGGAAGGTTGATAGATGAAGGATCAAAGGAAACTTGCTGCAGAACTAATCAGAAGAAATATATCTCCATTGTTTACTTTTCTTTCCTTTATTCCTTTCTTCACACATTCATCAATTTATTCTTGAAACAAAGGAATGCTAACAGAATGTATGTTGAATTGCCTTGAATTGACTTCAAGTGGTAATAGCAATGGTAAGTTACAAAAATTCCTTCATTTGTAAAAATAATTCCCCATTTGTTATTTATAAAAGAGATAGTAAGAGACTAAAACTGCATCTCTCTACTCTTATGTCCTGGTGTGGCACTGCAGGTTAATGTGCTAGACGGCAAGGTCAATTTGAACCACAAAGTTGGTGGTTTAAGTCCACCAGCTGCTGCTCAGAAACCCTATGCAGGGTAGCTATGAGTCGGAACCAAGTAGATGGCACTTAACAACAACTCTCAAGTAGATAGTGAAGTATCACCTCCAATTTTAATGTGTGGTTGTTGTTAGGTGCCATCAGGTCAAATCTGACTCATAGCAACCCTACGCACAACAGAAGGAAACACTGCCTGGTCTTGTATCACACTCACAACTTTGTTACACTTGAACCCATTGCTGCTGCCACCGTGCCAGTCCATCTCACTGAGGATCTTCCACTTTTCCTTGATGCTCCAAGCATGATGTCCTTCTGCAGGAATTGGTCCCTCATAATAATATGTCAGAAATATAAGACACCAAGTCTCATCATCCTGGCTGTACTTTGTCCCACACAGATGTGTTTGTTCTTCTGGCAATCCATGATACTTTTACTATTCTTCTGCAACACCATAACTCAAATGAATCAATTCTTAGATGGTATTCCTTACTCATTGTCCAACTTTCACGTGAATATGATGCTACTGAAAATACCATGACTTGAGTCAGGCACACCTTTAGTCCTTAAATTGACATTTTTGCTTAACACTTTAAAGAGGTCTTGTGCAGCAGATTTGCCTAAAGCAATACATCATTTGATTACTTGACTGCTACTTCCTTGAGTGTTGATAGTTGATCCAAGCAAAATGAAGTCTTTTCTTCATTTATCATGATGTTATTTATTAATTCAGTTGTGAGGATTTTTGTTTTCTTTACATTGAGATGCAACCCATACTGAAGGTGGTATTTGGTCTTTGATCTTCATCAGTAAATCATCTTCACTTTCAGCAAGCAAGATTGTATCACCTGAATATTGCAGGTGTTAATGAGTCTTCCTTCAATCCTAATGCCACATTCTTCTTCATAAATCCAGTTTCTAGGACTATTTGTTTAGCATACAGTTTGAATAAGTATAGTGAATGAATACAACCCTGGCACCTACCTTTCCTAATTTTAAACCATTCAGTGTCTCCTTGTTCTGTTCAAACAACTGCCTCCTGGTCTACATACAGGTTCCTCGTGAGCACAATTAAGGGTTCTGGAATACCCATTATTCCATAAATGTCATCCATAAATCACATGATTCACATATATAAAAGCCTTTGCATTGTCAATAAAGCACAGGTATTCTCTGCTTTCAGCCAAGATCCATCTTACATAAGCAATGGTATCCTTGGTTCCACATCCTAGTCTGAATCTTGCTTAAACTTCTGGCAGTTCCCTGTTATACTATTGCAGCATTTTAAAATTATCTTTAGCAAAATTTTACTTGCATGTGATATTAATGATATTACCCAATGATTTCTGCATGCTGTTATGTCACCTCTCTTTGGACTTGCCATAAATATAGGTCTCTTCCAATCAGTTGGTTAGGTAGCTGTCTTCCATGTTTCTTGGCATAGATGTTTGAGTGGCTCCAATGCCACATCAGACTGTTGAAAGATTCAATTTGTATCCCACCATTTCCTGGAGCCTTGTTCTTTGCCAACCTCTTGGATTTCTTCTTTCAAGACCATTGGCTCTTGATCATATGCTATCTCTTGAAATGGTTGAACATCGAGAATACCTTTTTGATACAGTGACTCTCTCTATTCCTTGCATCTCCTTTGGGTGCTTTCTCTTTCTTTCAATATTTTGCCCAGAGAATCCTTCAATATTTCAAGTTGAGGCTTGAAGTTTCTCTTCAGATCTTTGAGCTTGAGAAGTGCTGAGTATGTTCTTCCCTTTTGGTTTTCTAACTTCAGGTCTTTGCACATTGCATTGTAATATTTAACTTTGTCTTCTCAAGATGTCCTTTGAAATTTCCTGTTCAGTTCTTTTGCCTCCTCATTTCTTCCACTTCCTTTAGCATGTCTATGCATTAGCAGCCCACTGTGTAACCCACTAAACTACCAGAGCTCCTTATAGGGACACTTGCTGTTGCTGTTGTTGTACGCCGTCAAGTCAGTTCCGATTCATAGCGAGTCTGCATAAGGTTTCCAAGTGCAGCTGGTTTGAATTGCTAGAATTGCTAACCTTGGTTACCAGTGAAGTGTTTATCCTACAGCACCACACCAGGGCTCATACACTGTTGTTGTTAATTGTTATCAGGTCGATTTTCACTCATAATGATAGCAATCCTGTATAGGATTTCCAAGGAGCAGCTGCTGGGTTTAAACTAACAACCTTGTTGTTAGCAGTCCAGTGTTTATCCTACAGCACCACACAAGGAAATCTTAGGGATGTATTTGTTGTTGTTAAGTGTTTATCCTACAGCACCACACCAGGGCTCAAAGGGACACTGGTGTTGTTAAGTGTTATCAGGTTGGTTTTGATTCAGAGTGACACTGTACAGGGTATCCAAGGACCTGCTATTGAGTTTCAACTGGCCACCTTGTGGTTAGCAGTCCAATACTTATCAAGCAGTACCACACCAGGAAACCATAGGGGCACTTTGTTGTTGTTGCCAAGTGCCATTGAGTCAGTTCCTACCCATAATGACCCTGAGTAGGGTTTCTGAGGAGTGACTGGTGAACTTGAACTGCCAACCTTACAGTTCAAATCGACTTTGCAATCCAGCACATTAACACACATAGCCACACCATGACTCCATAGGGACACTATAACACATAAAATTTTTAAATGTTAGAAAAAGAATGGAATCTTTGGGTGTTACAAATGGCTAACATTCTATTGTGCCAATCGAAAAGCTGAAGGTTCAAGTCCATTTACAGATGCCTCAGGAAAAAAACCTGGTGATCTACCTACAAAACATTCACCATTAAAAACCCTAGGAGCACAGTTCCACTCTGACATAGATTGGGTTGCCATTAATCGGAGTAGACTCAATTGCAGCTAGTACTTGTAGAGAAATAACAAAGGAAAAGGCAAATTGAGGATTCTAGTCTCAATTTCCCCCTCCTCTTACACTCCCATTCCTTGGCCCAACAATTACAATTTACTGAGCACCTTTGATAGAGTCCTCGTGTGGCGCTGTAGGATAAGCACTGGACCAAAAATCTCAGTTTGAACTGCAAAGTCTGCAGTTCAAACTCTCCAGCCACTCCTCAGAAACTTTATACAAGGTCACTCTGAGTCAGATCTGACTCTACAGCACTTAACAACAAAAATTTGACATACCCATCACTATTCCAAGCACTTTATATCTAATACACACACACACACACACACACGGGAGATTCAAAATGTTCCTGGAAAATTTTCATTATCTTGTAATTCAATTTTTCTCATGAACTTTTTGAAGCCCCGTATATAAGATGTTGTTGTTAAGTGCTGTCGCGTTGTTCTGGCTCACAGTGACCCTGTAAAGGGTTTCCTAGGAGCAGCTGGTAGCTTTGAAATGCCGATCTTTTGGTTACTAGTTAAGGGTATATCCTATAGCGCCACACCAGGACTCTGCATATGATAGAATATTTTTCCTGTTCTACATTTGAGGAGAGATTATGAGACTTGCCCAAAGTACCACAGTAAATAGAAACTGAACAGAATGTAAATAAACAATGATTCTGAGGATTACTGGATAAAGACATTCTTGTTTTTACTTGTGACAGATTATTACTTTATGAATTTATGAAACCATATTTGTGTACTAAATATTACTTTTATTAATACCATATAAGTACTATAATGACATTTATATAGCACTTATGTGCCAGGCACTATTTCAAGTACTTTATATGTTTCATTTTATT